ACAACCATAACATTTAATAATTAAGGAAGTATTTTCTCTTACCTTTCCCTTACCTTTGAAGGGTTTCTTCCCTTTGGCTTTCATGAACTTGGTGAATTTCTTTATCATAAGACTCGATTGTTCTTCTTCTTCATTTTCTGAGTCTTCTTCTTCCTTCTTGTTCTTACTCTTGGAAATTTCAGTTTTGAAGGCTAAGTTCCCCTTTTGATGTTGACCTTCTTCATCATTTAGCCTTCCAAGTTCAAGTTCATGCTCTCTTAACTTTCAAAAGAGCGCCGCCATAGACATTGTTGCAATATTTTGTGACTCCGTGATGGCCGTCACCTTTGGTTGCCATTTCCTATCCAAAGATTTAAGGATTTTTACATATAATTTATCAATATAAAAAATTTTACCTAACCTGGTGAGATGGTTCACAATATGTGTGAAATGCTTTTGAACGTCAAAGATCGTTTCCCCTTGTTGCATACGAAACATCTCATATTCTTGGATCAATGAATTTTTCCGTGCTCTTTTTACATTGTCGGTACCTTCATGGGTTACTCTTAACATTTCCCACATTTCTTGAGCACTCTTACAAACAGAGATCCTGTAAAATTCATCAAGGGTTAAAGCAGATGAAATAATATTTCTAGCCCTAACATCATATTGGGCTTTTCTATTTTCTTCAGCCGACCATCTAGAAAATGGTTTTGGTACCTCTTCTCCATTTTCACTAATTTTAGGAATAAAGGGACCGTTTAAAATTGCGTCCCAAACACCTCTATCAACATACTCCAAAAATATTTGCATTCTTACTTTCCAAAAGGGATAATTTGTCCCCGCAAAGAGTGGGGGTCTATTGATAGAAGCACCCTCGGCAAACATTTGATTTTGTCCGGCCATTTTCGTAAATTGAATGACTATCAAAGCAAGCTCTGATACCACTTGTTAGAATCGCGCAACGGAATGTTTGCGTTTACGGACAAAAACCAAGAGGGGGGGGGGGTGAATTGGTTTCTTAAACAAAAATTAGGGTTTTAAAATTTTCCCCAAATTTCACAGATTAAAATGCTGTGTAAAGTAAATAGAGAAGGGAAAGAAGATTACACAGTCAATTTATACTAGTTCGGATCAAAAGACCCTACGTCCAGGTTCTAATCACTCAAATAGAGGATTAACGCTGTCACTATAATCACAGTTATACAAACAGATTACAGATGAAAAGATAAGGTAAAGAATACATCTCTCTTGAGTCACACAAGAGATGAACACCTCCTTTGAATCCAAAAAGGATGAAGAATAGCTTTCCCTAGAGACGGCACAACACACAATCCACCAAGAAAACTCACTCAGTGATTCTTATCGCTTCTAGCCCACACTAGGTTTCAAAATGCCCATTTTCCTCCCAACAAACAGTTCTCTGGCAGTCACAACTCTTAACTTTCGTATGAAAAGGGTTGTTCTATCTGCAGAGAGCCTTAGAGAACCTTAAGTAGAGATATTAGGGTTTGGGAATTGGGGATTTTCGAAAATAGACTAATTGGGAATAGGGTTTTCAAAACTTGGTCCAATTTTGAATTTAAAAACACATATCTGACTGAAATAATCGATTATCTTGAGTGTTACTCGATTATTCCAGAGCCATTTTCGCAGAGGAACAAAAACTACATCATTTAATCGATTAATAGGCCAAGTAATCGATAAAAAGCCTAGTTAATCGATTAATAGGGCATTTAATCGATTATTCCAAAGAGCAAAGACTGAAAATGGTTTTCTTTCTGTAATAGTCGATTATCCTGCCATTTAATCAATTATTCCAGTATGTTTTTGATAAAAATGAGTTTTTAGAGCTTTTAAAGAGTGGTCTATGTGTTGGCCATCTTGGACTCTAATATTACAAACTCAAAAACATAAAAACAGAGTTATTACATAGCATTACAAGTCTTCAAATCTTTAAGTCCTTTATTCTTGAACCTTCATCAAAATGTACAAGCTTCATATCCATGTATGTTCAACATTCATATCCTTGTATGTTTCAACAGAAGGTTATCACCTTGGGTGATGGTTTCCGACAACGACCTACTGGCACTAAGGCCATTACCACGGTCGGTCGTACATGCCACCCACTCCCTATGTGTATTCACTCTTTCCCCCGAGTATAGAGGGACTGTTGTGTGCAAGGGTTTGTGTACAATTTATATTTCAAACAATTGTAGAAAATAAACATACAACAATTATTAAAGCCAAACAGTAAAGCAAAGAAAGGGTAGATGCATAATTTCAAGTCTAATATTTTTAGATTATTCCATCAATAAATGGGATCAACTCTCTAGCTTCCCCTGTGGAGTCATCATCTGTCGCCGCCACAAAAAAAAGTGGTCGGAGCGACGGAATGGTTTTGATGACTCGCGTTTGTTTTAAAAATATGGTCATCACTCTTAGGGTGTCCGATAACTAAACTACCCCTAAGAACAAGGTTTTCATAAATGGGTTATGCAGTCGCCACCAATATTTTTACCATAAACATTGGAAAAGGAAAAAAGGTGTTGGTTTAAAAAAAACCAACTTTGGCCATTATAACTAGAGTTGGGTAAGGGAGTTAGTTACATGTGGGGAAGGTATTAGTACCCCTACAACGCCCCTTTTAGGTTCTTATGATGGAATATTCTTAAAATAAGGACAATAAAATTATGCTTCTACCCTATTTATTCATTGCAGAATTTAAATTGTTATCTACATGGCCCTAATAACTAATGCATACAAGGAAAACAATGAAAGAAAGTGATAAAGGAGAAGAGATATGAAGAAAAACCTCCAAAGCGAGCTTTTATTAATCTTTGAACTAAAGGGCGCTTTTTGGTAGTCCTACACTCTACAACGCGCTCCTCACTCGAACAAAAATTATTAACTAACTCCCCGAGTGTCAAAAAGATCACTCGTATTCTGTAAAAATATTTAGAGTCGCTTAGAATCCCAGAAATGGGTTTTCAGAGCAAAGGAGAGTGGAGAAGGTGTGTGGAATGAGCTGAATGAGCCTCCTATTTATAGCATGTAGACCCTAAATCTTACCCGGTTTCACAATGAAACCAGAAGACCTTCGTTCGAAGATGGATAAGGCCTCTTTAGGTTCCTAGGCATGTTTACTAGGTTCCATGTTAGGATAGGAAGGCCTTCTGTACATGAAAATAGGAGAATTCTCACCAAGAGTCCAAGACAGTCGTCTCGTTCGGCCAGACGGTCGTCTCACCCGACAAGGGTCGAGATGGTCGTCTCGCCCTGACTGGCATAAATTCCTATAAATAGGGCCCCTTCCCCCCATCATTTCACACACTTTTCAACAGGATTTTAGATTTTTTCCTTGAATACACTCTCCTACCTTCTTAAGCTTCCTCTAGGCCAACTCTGAAGCACTCTCCGGAGTTTGAGTACTCTTTTTAGACGCTCTGTAGCTAGAATCTTACGTTCGATAGAAGAGTGAGGAAGCGTTGTAGAGTGAAGGGATATCCGAAAAGCATCCTTAATTTTAAAGAAATTAATACAAAGCTTGCTTCGAAGGTTTCTTCCCTTATACTCTCTTTTATTGCTTTCCTTTATCGTTTTTTTTGTATGTGTTGCAACTGAAATCACGACGAAATGACGAACCAAAATTTCAAAAAGATTTAAAAAAATGGAATCAAAATTTTGGAGTCGCCACCATAGTTTATTTAGGAAAACTATGGAAAAACCATAAAGATAAGATAAGGTCTATGAAAACCAGATTCAGGTTTGGGAGTCGGCTACAAGTAGGGAAGGTATCAGCACCCTACAACGTCCGTCCTAAGACGGTTACCCTTAGTTGAGTGTGCGAAATTAAATGTCATTTTAAAAATGTTTATTTTCTTCCAAAACAGAAAATAGAGAATTAAAAAGGAAAAAGGAAAAGAAATGGACTGAAATATTTTTTAGTTTTTTGGGGCCCGACAAGGATGGACCTTGCTCCTACGTATTCTCATTCAAAATGAGAAATCAAGGTTACATAGTTCGTTGTAGAAAAAGGTTTATGTGTTTGCTTAATGTTTTGGAATTTTTTTGTTTCTGAAAAAGTTTGTATTTTGTTTTGGGTTTTTGATGTTTTGAAGACACATGATGATGCGTGCAACCATTCCGTGTTTCAAAGTTTATTTAAAATAAAGTACATGATGACACAAATGGTCGTACCTGTACCTCAAGTTTATTTAAAAGGAGAGGACATGACAACGTGAGCGGTTGTACTTGTACTTCAAAGTTTAAAGGAAGAGGATATGACGACACAATCGATCATATCCGTACCTCAAAAATTATTTAAAGAGAGGACATGACGACGTGGACGGCCATACCAGTACCTCAAAAATTATTTAAAAGGAGGACATGACGACGCGAGCGGCTATACCCGTACCTTAAAAATTATTTAAAGAGAGGACATGACGACACAGGCGGCCGTACCAGTACCTCAAAAGTTATTTAAAAGGAGGACATGACGATGCAAGCGGTCGTACCCGTACCTCAAAAATTATTTAAAAGGAGGACATGTCAATGCAAGCGGTCATACCCGTACCTCAAGATTTATTTAAAAGGAGGACATGACGATGCAAGCGGTCGTACCCGTAACTCAAAATTTATTTAAAGAATTGATAGCCACTAAACCGAACGCAGGGCCAAGAGCCCAAAAATCAAACATGGGGTCGGGAGCCCAAAAATAAAACTTGGGGCCGGGAGCCCATAACTCGAGTAAATGAATCGGATAAGAAAAACCCAAGGCAAAGATAGACACAAATCCTAACTCTTGACCCATAAATCGCAACCCAACACCCATAGCGTTTAACCATAACCTATCATCCTAACGGAAAAAATTCGACAGAATAACGACAGTAAACCTATCAACTTATGAAAATCCAGCAGCATAACGATAGTAAATGGAACTCAAACCAAAGGACTAATGTCCTTAACAGATATTAATAAAAATGTAAGGACCCACGACCCATAACAGATATGATCCAACAATGAAGAAAGGATGGGAAAATCTAACAATCAAAATAGGAAAAATACAAAGTGAATCAAACTACAATGTGTACAAAAATAATAATCAACAAGAAGGGTTAAAAGGAAAAGAAAAAGGAAAGAAGAGAGCAGAAGTCTCAAGGGTCTGCGGGGGAGGGGAAAAATCGCGGTGGCCCAAATGCAGGGCCCGCGGTGGTCATCAGCGTAGCGACCTGGGACCCCAACGAGGCACTTCACGGTGTTGCTGGCTTGGTGTGGTGGTCAAGAGGGGAGGAGAAGATTGGCAAAGGGACGACCGCGGTGGTTGCAGGCGGGATTGGGATTTAGCTGCGATGCAATTCAGAGGGGATAAAGACCGGCTGTGGTGAAGGATTAGTGGCGCAGCTAGAAGTTGGTTGTGCGACATGGCTAGGGCTTGGGTGGTTTACAATGACTGGGTTGCGGTGAGTGGGGGTGCTTGCGGCGCGACCAAAGCCCATGATGGTTGGTCGCGCGGTGATATGGGTGGCCCGCGATGGTAGAATGGGCGTGGTCAGGATTTGAGGGTGGAGGTGGCGCGAGCCCCACTGGTAGAAGCTGGTTCGGGTGATTCGAGGTTGGTTGGGGTTGCCACGGTGGTGGCCGAGGAGGCAGTGATGGGTCGCGGGTGAGATGGAGACGCGAAGGGGTTAGGGTTAAGGTGGAGGTCGGTGGCACTGTGCTAACCCGTGCCCTAATGAATTAGAAGCCCCGTCAAGAAACAACTTGAAAATGGCTCGCACGTTGCAGTTAATTGGGAGATAAATCTAGCAATGTAGTTTAATCTACCCAAGAACCCTTGAACTTCAGTTTTCGTATGCAGAATGGGCATTTCCAAAATGCTCGTACTTTGTCAGGGTCTACCTCTATCCTTTTTCACTGACAATAAACCCCAACAACTTTCCCAATCTTACGCCGAATGTGCATTTTTCCGGGTTTAGTATGAGCTTGAACATTCTCAATCTTTCAATCAACTTCCTTAAGTTGGTGATATGTTCATTTTCAGATCTAGATTTAGCAATCATATCATCTACTTACACTTCAATTTCTTTATGCATCATATCGTGGAATAACGTCACCATTGCTCTTTGATAAGTCGCACTAGCATTTTTCAACCCAAATGACATCACCTTGTAGCAGAATGTGCCCCATAAAGTGACAAAGGTTGTTTTTTCCATGTCGTCGGGGGCCATAGCGATTTGATTATATCCTGAGAACCCATCCATAAACAAGAAAATTGAGAATTGTGCAGTATTATCAACCAACGTGTCAATGTGGGGCAACGGGAAATTATCTTTAGGGCTTGCTCGATTCAAATCCCGATAATTAATGCACATTCGAACTTTCCCATCCTTCTTCGGTACCAGAACGACATTTTGCAACCCATTGGGGGTACTTTGCTACAACCAAGAATCCAGCTTCAAATTGTCTCATCACTTCTTCTTTGATTTTCAAGGACATCTCGGGTTTCATTCTTCTCAACCTTTGTTTAACAGGTAAGCACTCAGGCTCCAATGGCAATTTGTGTTGGACTATACTAGGATCTATTCCAGGCATGTCTTGGTAAGACCACGCAAACACATCCTTGAACTCCTTTAGCAGGCCAATAAGCCTTTTGTGCGTTTCGATTTCGACATTGGTGCCAATCTTTACTTCTTTCTTCTCCTTTTCACTACCCAAGTTAACTACCTCTAGGTCCTCTTGATGTGGTTTTATCTCCCTGGATTCTTGTTCTACTATTCTCACAAGTTCCAGAGGTGGTTCCCAATCTTCTTCAAGATCCCCTTCCGTATTATCTGTAGGAATCAACAAGTCGGGGTATAGGGTATCGACATCGTTATTTTCACAAGATTCGCTGTCAAGTTTGATTATTCATAATTAGCAAGAGAAAGACATGAACTAAGAAGTAGTAAACACGATTTTAGAAATGAAATGCATTTATTATTGTTAACACTAAAAGTTGAAGGTGAGCCTGTACAAAATGAAAATAAATCCCAAAGCCTTGGGCAGAGCTAATGGGTTTGAAAACAAAAGATTACATTTCATCAGTACTAAACACCATGGGTAATTCTATAGCCATACAATTGTCGAGTTCCATACTCGGAGGACATGGGCAAACAAAATTCTGGATTGCATCGCTGACCCCCTCTTTGGCAGTCGCCACTTGTTTGTCATTTACACACTGTCGTCATCATCAAAAGAGGCGGTCAAAGCGACGCGATGGTCCTTTGATTTGACTCGCATTTCTAAAAGTGTGATCATCACCCTTAGGATGTCCGATAACCGAACTATCCTAAGGATGAGGTTTTCATAAGTGGGTTCTAGAGTCGCCACCAATATTTTTACCAAAACCATTGGAAAAGGAAAAGAAGGCGATGGTTTTAAGAAAAACCAACTTTGGTCATTACAACCAGAGTTAGGTAAGGGAGTTAGTTACGTGTGGGGAAGGTATTAGTTGAAGCACTTGTTGGATTTGATGAAGACATATAAATTTTAGAGAGTTTATTTTGTGGGTGTGTAGATAGATTGGTTATAGGTTTAGAGTTTAATCTCTTGATAGTTCAATAGATCTTGTGATAAGCGCCTTTAAATGATGCATCTCATTGAACTTATTTTACTGCATGAAAAACCAACCTTTTAGCATTAAAAGAACAAACTGAGTTTTTCAATCTATTAAAAAGAAGTTTTCAATCTGTTAAATTTACTTAACATAGAAAAATTTCATATAAAGTCAAAATATTAATTGATTGAATCGCAGAATCAACAGGTTAAAATGTTCTTAATGATTTTTCCATATTAATGGCTTCCCAAATTTAATCTGTTAAAATCAAGTTCAATCTATTGAAACAGAAAGATGTTATTTTTCACGTTGGAGTATCTCAGAATTTCAATCTGTTGAAATTATTTTTAATCTGTTGAAACAGAGAGATCATTTTTTCATTCTAAGGTATTACAGGATTTCAATCTGTTGAAATATCTTTTAATCGATTGAAACAGAGAGCTACCATTTTTTTCTAAACTGTTTCAATCCATTGAAAACTCGAATCAATCGATTGAATTAAGTTTTAAATGAAATCAATCGATTGAAATGTCGTTTTAATCGATTGAAAAATATTCTGATCGATCACAACTCAATTCTGATCGATCATATCTAATTCTGAGCGATCACAATCGTATTCTGATCGATCATATCTTGTTCTGATCAGTCATAAAACTATTATGATCGGTCATTTGCGACTCCAAGGCATTTTTATTAATTGAATCTAACAGACTTCTTTCTTTTACTCTATAAATACAATTTTGATTTCACTTTTGAAATACACAATCTGAAAATCATTTGAAAGCAATCTTAGAGCTATCATATTAGTGCCTTTCTCTGTGTATTCATACACTTTTCATATCATAAGGCGTTTAGATCAAGATTGTTGAAAGTTCATCAAGAGTGAAAGTTCTGAGTGGGAAAATTGCTTCTGGACTTCTATATTGTAAAAGCTGTAGTCCAGGTTTATTCTTTTCATACTTGTACAAAGGTTAATTGTGTAGATTGGGTTTGAATCTGCACTGGTTACAGTAACTGGATTTGGGTACTGGGTGGTTATTCAAGAGTCTATCTTGTGGGTTTGTGAGATAGTTCTTGGGGTAGATTGGTGTATATCTACTGGTTGTAATTTTCACTTGGAATTAGTGGAACTTGGCAAATTTGTCAAGAACTGGATGTAGCTCTGGGAAAGAGTGAACCAGTATAAACTTTTGTGTTGAATTTCTGCTTTCATCTCTTTTCAATTCTTGCTTATATTCTTGCTTTGTTTAAAATCAAATCTGCCTAACAAAAGATTGGATAAAGTTTAATCATTCTTCCAAAAGAAAGAGTGTTTTTCGAAAAAAATTTCAAAAGTTCAATTCACCCCCCTCTTAAACTCAACATTAATTCTTACAATTGGTATCAGAGTTGGTTCTTGTAAGTTACTCAAGAATTCGGTCCAAGAAAGGTTTAAATGGTTGAGGGAAAGATGAATTTTTCGGAAGGAGCCTCCATAAACAGGTCTCCTCTTTTTGCTGGTGTGAATTATTCTTTCTGGAAGGTTAGAATGAAAATCTTTATTGAATCTCTTGATAAAGGTATTTGGGAAACAATTGTTAATGGGCCTTTCAAACCAACTCATACAATGGATGGTAAAATTGTTGAAAAAAATTGGGCTGAATTAACTGATGTAGAAAATAGGAAAGTCCAATATGGTTATACTACTAAGAATATTATTACCTCTGCTTTAAATCTTGATGAGTTTTTCAGGGTGTCTCAATGTGCCTCTGCCAAAGAAATGTGGGAAATTCTAGAGGTCATTCATGAGGGTACATCTGACGTGAAAAGGGCAAGAAAGCATGAATTAATTAGAGACTATGAATTGTTCAAAATGCAGCAAGGTGAAACCATTGCGGATGTGCGAAAAAGATTCACGCATATAGTCAATCATCTAATCGGGCTAGGGAAGACTTTTGACAAGGAAGAGTTAAAAATCAAAATCTTGAAATGTTTGGACAGAACTTGGCAACCAAAGGTGACAACTATATCGGAATCAAGAGACTTAAGCTGAAATGACTACTGCATCATTATTTGGTAAGCTAAGGGAACATGAGTTGGAGATCAATCGGTTTAAAGAACAAGAAAATGCGAGAGAAGAAAAGCAGAAACATTGTTCTCAAGACGATTGAAGAAAATAGTGAGTCCGAAGAAGATGAATCGAGAATCGACTCGTTAGTTAAGAAATTTGGGAAGTTTCTTAGAAAGAAGAATAGAACTGCCCAGGTTAAGAGGTACACTCGACAAAAGAAGCTGAATCTACTCAAAATAATTTTACTTGTTATTCTTGTGGTAAGCAGGGACACATAAGGAGTGAATGTCCAGAGAAATCCAGGAATCAAAACAAGAAAGAGTTAAAGTACAAAGGGGAAAAGGCCTACATAGCTTGGCAAGACAATGATTCATCCTCCAGTTCTGCATCCGAAGGTGAAGAAGTGAATTTATGCTTAATGGCTAGCTGTGAATCCTCTTCATCACATGTAAGTTCAACCCCCACAGAAAATGAAATGAATTACAGCACATTACTAAATGCTTTTAATGAAATGCATAATGAAGCTAGAAATTTATCTCATACAAATAATCGGTTAAAAGGACTAAATAACTGGTTAGAAAATAGGGTTAAAGTTCTGGAAAAAGAGTTATTAGAAAGCAAAACAAATATGGAACATCTTGAAATAATATACAATAATTCATCTGCTGATAATGCTGCTGGTAACAACAGTTGTGAAAAGTGTATCTTTCTACAGAATAAGGTTGAGTACTTGATTAAAACTTTGTCTAAGTTTAGTCAAGGTAAAGAAAATTTAGATACACTTCTTAGGTCCCAAAACTGTGTTTTTGATCATACTGGAATTGGGTACAAACCTAAGGTTGGGGTTAAAAATAAAAAGTATTTGAACTTCTTTTCTTTTAGAAAAGCAACATCATCTCCCTTCTCATCCTGTCATTACTGTATGAAAAAAGGGCATACTGTAAAATTTTGTCATGCTAGAAAACATTTTATGCCACAAGGTAAAATGAGATGGGTTCCAAAATATGTTAAACAGAAAATTTGACTCCCAAGGACCCAAAATTTTTAAGGATACCAAATACTTGATGCTTGATCTTTCAGGAACAGCAGCAAGAGTCACTTTGGTACTTGGACAGTGGATGCTAAAGGCATATGACAGGTGATATTTCCAAATTCCAGAAACTAAGATTGAAGAATGGAGGACACGTGACATATGGAGACAACAACAAGGGAAGAATCCTAGGTTCTGGAGATATAGGAGATGGTGAAAACGTGATTATTCATAATGTTCTTCTTGTTGAAGGTCTCAAGCACAACTTAATCAGTATAAGTCAATTATGTGATCTAGGTCACAAGGTTATCTTCAAACCAGAAATCTGCCTAATCTGTGAGCCAAAATCTGACACGGTAATGTTGGTAGGTAAGATGTTAAATAATATTTACATGCTAGATATCAAGCATTCTATCCCATCTCAAAGTTGTCTTCTTACTAAAGAAGAAGAATCTTGGTTATGGCATAGAAGGCTTGCACATATTCATCTTAATCATCTTGACAAGCTGATTTCTTAAGATTTAGTCTACTGGGCTACCTAAGCTTCAAATTCGAAAGACAAAATCCGTGAAGCTTGTCTAAAAGGTAAACAAACTAGAAAATCCTTTTCAAACAAAAACATTGTTTCTACTTCTAGACCTTTGGAACTGCTTCACATGGATTTGGTTGGTCCTTCAAGAAATAAAAGCCTAGGTGGTAATCTCTATATCATGGTAATTGTTGATGATTTTTCCAGATTTACCTGGACTATATTTCTAAAAGCCAAATCTGATTCTTTCAAATCTTTTAAAAAGCTTGCAAAGGTTTTACATAATGAGAAAGGCTATTTCATTACATCTATTCAAAGTGACAATGGTGGAGAATTTGTAAATGAAAAATTTGAATTGTTCCGTGAAAAGTATGGCATAAAACACAACTTTTACTGCTCCAAGAACTCCTCAACAGAATGGTGTTGTGGAAAGAAAGAATAGATCCATTGTGGAACTTGCTAGAACAATGCTTTGTGAAATTGGGCAGATGTTGTAAACACTGCTTGTCATGTTTTGAATAGAGTGTTGATTAGACCCATTCTTAAGAAAACCCCATATGAACTTTACAAAGGAAGAAAACCCAACATAAACTATTTCATGGTTTTTGGATGTACATGTTTTGTTTTAAACAATGGGAAAGAAAATATTGGCAAGTTTGATGAAAAATCTGATAAAGGGATCTTTCTTGGCTATTCTTCTAACAGTCATGCATATAGAGTCTATAATCTAAGACTAAAATCTGTTGAAGAATCAGTACATGTTGTTTTTAATGAGTCTCCTCGAGTGTTGCAGAATAAAACAACAGGTACTGCAGATGATGACGATTTAACTGATAATTCTTATCAGTTAAAACATCCCAGTGACTCAGATCAGCATATTGTCGAAGAAGGTGATCAGTCAATTGATCCTACAAAAGCTGATCCACTAGGAAGAATTGCTCAAGAACAGGAAGAAGATATCTTGGATGAGCTTCCTAAAGAATGGATTGTCCCAAGAGATCTTTCTCTAGACAATGTCATTGGGCAAATCAATAAGGGAGTATCCACTAGACATTCTCTTAATCAATTCTTCAAT